GCTGTTAGAATGGTAGCCGCAACGATTTATTTGAAAGCTTAGTTGCTTTGCATAAAGAATATTTTCCTTTCCAAACTATTTTTTTTTAGCTATTAGTGAGCGCATTTTGGAAAAAGTGGGTGTCATTCATGGTTGCATCTTGGAATGCGATGATTTTTTGCAAAGACTGGAACTTCGGATTCGTATTGAACATGCCAATGAACTGAAGGCCGATGAGTTTGTGATAGCTATGGATACTGGTGATACTACAACAAACGGTTAGTTTGGTTTGCATTTTGTTTAAATCTGGATGAAAGTTTATACTCATCATCTTTCATAACTTTCCAATAATTTGTTAATAAATATATGATTGATTTGATTTTCAGTTGTTTACTGCAGTGAAAGAGATGCGGAAATGTACGTGTCGGAGTTTCTTTTTTTGTAAATGTATTTATTTTTATAGGACGAAAAGATGGAAATGACGAAAACAGGATGAAACGGTCATTATCCGAAACAACTGATGAGTGTTCACCAGCTAAAATTCGAAAAACTGATGGTGAAATTGTTTCATAGTATTGAGTTATATTTCTGAAAACTTTTATTTGGTTTTGTTACTTACCTTAACTTTTTTGTTTTTTGGGATCATCTTACCTTACATTTTGAAGCAAAATCTGCTTTTTGAACACCGATACACAAATAGTGATAGAAAAAAGTGTAAAACTCTCTTCGCTATATTGCCATTTACTCAGTAAAATTTTTTGATAAACTGAGAATCAGTGCATTCTTTTATTTTTGTTTTTTTTTTTTTAAAGTATATGTTGGAATATCTGTACGCAATAAACTATATGAATAAATTAGTTATGCATTTATACATTAAAGTCAAGGCTTCAGTAAGAATTATGGTTTTATAATAAGGAAAGAAAAGTAAATTTTCTGTTTATCCTTTTATCACCTTGTTTTACACCTATATTTTTTTTTAATTTGGTTTATCATTCCTACAAATCTTAAAATTTTTTTCAAGTTTCAGTAATCTTTCCTTCCCTGGATTACTTCCTGATTTTCAGATCTTAACTGCTGCAGATGCATTTATAACTACTCCAATGCTAATGTAAAAAGAGTTTGTAACAACTATGAAATATGAAATCATTTCCGAATATTCCATAATGAATTAACTTTAGTATTTCTGAACAATTTTGTTTCTTTCCATCTTTGCTCCTACAATTGTTTTTTATATGATATTTTAATTTATTAATAATCAGAAGAGTGCTGGAATGGATAAATAATCAAAAATTATTTTTGCATTATCATTTCTCGCCACCATTATCACTGCTTTGCAGTCAGTATACATCATCAAAAAATATATTGGTTTTATAATTTCTAATTGCTTTGTTTTTGTATTTTACAATTATTTCAGAAAAAGCAGAGAAATATATACATGTGGAAGAAATTGAAACTAAAACTGTTATGCACTTATTAAATTGATAATAATTTGATCAAATTATGTCATTAATAATTGTCAATTGCTCTGGTGACAAAAGAATCAAGAGCAGAGAGGTCAAGTGTCACAGCACAATAACAGCGAATAGTTGAATTAAAAGGAAAAATAGTTCGGAAAAAAAAAAGTCATGAATGAAAAGTCGTAATTTAAAGAGTCAGAGTAATTATTAGACTCTTTTTTTGTTTTTTGAGAATTATAAAACGACAAATTACAAATATATCTCATTAAATAAAATATAAATTGGTTAAATTAATTAATTAAATAAAAAACAAATTGATAGAACTAATTAAATTTTATTTATTTATTGGAAAATTGTCCTCCCTTTCAAATTCATTTTTTATTTCATTTTTGCTTTTCTCATTTGCATGATACCAACTAATTTTATCAGATAAAATTGTATATTTGCAAAAAAAAAAAAAATCGTTTTTTCATTAAATTTTTGTTGGAAACCTTTTTTTTTCCTTCTATCTCTTTTGATTCCAATTTTTTATCATTCATTTTTGTTAATTTTGCAAATATTCTTTTTTTTTCATCGATTTATGCAATATTTTTGTTAATTCGTTCATCAGATTCACATTAAATTTAATAGTTCCCTCTGTTTCATTAATTTTCTCTCTCCTTTTTTACTTCATCAATTATTTTCTTATCATTTATCATTTGTGTCCTTTTCAGTGTTCGCTACAGATTTTATCTTAACTTTAGCATTTACTCTTTTAGATTTATTTACTCCCTCTCTCTCTCTCTCCTTCAATATCAGTAAGAATTTCACTTTTTTTTTTTAAATTTTTATAAGTTTTTTTCTGTTTTTTATAACAATTATCATTTTATATTATTTTTTATCTTCAAAATTTATTAATTTGTTTAATTTTACTATTTATGGTATAGGTTTGGAATTTAATTATTTTTTTGCGAGTTATCTAATTGAATTAATTGAGCAAATAATTGTTTATTTTCCATTGTATTTTTAAAAATAAACAAAACTTGCTTTTTCCTAATTTTTATACAATTATGAATAATTTTAGTAAATAAAATGAATGAATTTATGAGCTTAGTGATAATCAAATTTTGGCTAAATATATTTGTTGTAAATAATTTAATTTAATTATATCAATTATAATTGATCTGATAATCTTATTCTAATTATATAATCCGATTTAATCATAATTTCAATGATACAAAATGAAGGGAAATTACTGTACTGTTTCAAAATATTTTACTAATTAATTATTATTACTATTAATAAATGCTTCATCGAATATTATTTATAAATTTCGCCATATATTGTACAAATTTATTTTTTTGAACAATTGAAATAAATTTTCATTTTTCAAATTGAATTCTTATCTCGAAAATTTTATTCACATTACATAGCCATATATAAGCTATTAATACATAATAAATATAGAAATAATAAAAATTTTTAATAGCTTTTAATTTCATTTTAACTTACCAATCAGTGTTAAAAGTTATAAAGTGCCCCATCAAATATTTCTCATTATTTTTAGAACACAATTTTTATTTTATATAATCATTATAAATTAAATTCATTTAACAGTTCAATTTAAGTGTCGATCAAATATTCATGTAAATATTATGTATTTTATTATCAGTTATTGGTTATGATTATTGATTATGATCATCAGTTACTGATTATGACTATTGATTATGATTATCACTTATTGATTATGATTATCGATTATGATTATTAGTTATTGATTTAAGATTATTGATTATGATCATTAGTTACTGATCATTGATTATGATTATCAGTACTAATATAGTTATACAATTAACAATATCCATTCAAAAAAGCAATTAATCTAAAATATCACTTTAGTAATATTTTATGTTTTAATACAATTACTCTGCGACTTATTAGCATAATAGCAATATGAATGATAGCAAATTTCATGAAATAAGCTAAAAAATAATTTAAAATTGTTTAATAAATTTGAACTTAAATTTTAGCAAAGCAAAATAGGTTATTCTGGGAAGACATTTAATTGTATCTAATTAATTTCACTTGTAAAATTATTCAAAAAAAAAAAAGAAATATGCATTTCATGCATATTTCCTTCTTTAAAAGCCCTTCTTAATATTAAAATGAAAATTTTGAAATGCTATTATTTTCTTTTTTTTTTTTTTATTGATAAAATTGCTTTTTATAAGTTCACAGCTAAATTAAAATTTGTAAATAAAATCGAATTAGCATATTTAATAGTTACTGCTCCTAGAAATGCAAATATTCCAAAATAATTCAAATTTATTCATTAAATTTTTTTCTCTAACTAATTCAAACTTATTTATCGAAATTCAAATTTAATTTAATATCTATGAAATTCAAAAACTAATTCAAATTTATTTACATTTTTTTTCCCCTTTTTCATTATTTATCCTAGTAAAACTGGACAAGTTAATTAATTTGTCTGTTTTATAATTGCTTGAAACACCTGCCTGCTCATTTCAATAGCATTTTTATTAACTGAAAGCTTTTCATCATTTTCATTTTCTTTTTTTTTTTTAAAAAAAAAATTCAATTATATTTAAAAAATAAAAATTTCCTTTTTTCCCATCCAATCATTCTATTTGTTATTCATTTTCACTATTATCAAAATTTTTGCTAAGAAATTAAAATAAAAAAAAAAGAAAAGAAAAACGAAAGATTGAACTAAAATAAAAAAGTGAATAAATATTAAAAGCTGAGTGAAAAAAAAAAATGAAAAAAAAAGATTGGTTAGCAACCAAATTATTGCTATGAAATAAATAAATTAGGAAGAAAGAGAAGTAAAGTGAAAGAAAGTAAGTTAAATTTTAAGATTGAATAAAATTATAAAGTTAGTTTTCATATTTTTTTTTTTTTTAATAAAAAGTGCAAAATATATAAGGCGTAAAATATGATTAGAAAGAAAAGATTTATAATTAAATTTCCTAAAAAATTTTCCTTTCTAACAAAAAAATTTTTTCACAATTCAAAAACGAAAATATGCTTTCCTTTTTTTTTTTTTCAAATATATAAAATATCATTTAATAAATGTTAATAGTTTAATATTAATTATTATTAATTAAATAATAATTAATTATTATTAGTAATCACTATTATCTGTTTTCATTGGAATAAATTAATCTTTCTTTTATTTTGTGCATATTTCTTTCAATGATTGTTTAATTTTGTTCTATTTTTGTCTTACATAGGAAATATTTTTATGTAAAGAATTGAATATTTAATATAATTCTTAATCAAAAGGAAAAGGTAATAATTATAATTATAAATTAACCAATTCTATTTATATTAATTAAAATATTTTCTTTCGTTTTCCCTTTTTTTTTTTTAATTACAAAGATTAAATTTTTGCAACAATTAGATGTAAAAAAAGAAAGAAATGTTAAATTTAATCTTTTAATATAAAATTTGAATTAATTTAGAAAAGAAAACAAGAATTATCCAATTAATTAATTATTATAACTATATTTTTTCGTTATAACTTTTATTAATAATTAAATTTAAAAATTTTATAAATAATAAATGGGTAATCGTGAATCATCAACAAAAGAAGAAGACGGTAAACCAAAAGAAAATGATCAACCACGTCTGTATCGACACGTTGACATTCACGGTGGCGGTGATTTGATATCATTTATGTGGTCAGCAAAGAATAGCAATGATTTTTCACAAATTAATGAATTAATTGATTCAAAGGTTTGATGTTTTTCATATATAATTTCTTTTTTTTTTTTGATAAAATTTTGAAATTTAATTTTTAGACTTATTTTATTAAAAATGAAATGAATGAAAGAATATTTTCAATTCAAAAGCTTAAAATACAATAGCAAATTATTGATTACAAATATTAGGAAGTATAATTAATTTTAATAAATTTAAATGATAAAATTATGTTAAGAATGTAATGATAGGACAAAAAAAAAGAAAAGAAAAGAAAAGAAAATCATTTCTGATATTAAATCATTTGGTAATTAAATAAATTTTAATCACATGCAAAAAGTTTCACTAATTAAACAAATTTTCATTTATTTATTGAAATTTTTGATAATCTTAATTGGTATAAAATGTTTAAATCAATGGACTATTCAAAAATTTGCAAATTTTATTTTTTTTTTTCAAATAAGTCCTATAAAGAAATTAATTAATCAAATTTTTTAGATTAAAAATTTTATGTATAATTCGGGTAAAGGTAAAATGGTGGCTGTTTCTGAATTGGTGAAAATACGTAATAAAGAGCGTAATGCAATGCTAAGCGCATTAAAACGTAAAAAAGGAAAAGGTAAAAGTGGACCAAATATTTTAGATGATTTTAATCAAGAAGGTGAAAATCAAGGAGATTTAAAAAAGGGTTTTTTTTTTTAAAAATTTAATTTTATGCTAAGTAGTAAATATATGTGTGTGTGAAAATTGCAATGAAATATTAATAAAAAGATAGAAAAATCACAAATGAAAAAAAGTAAAAAATTAGAATATAGTAAATTTATATTACATATATATTAAGAAAAAAAAAAAATTGTGCTAAATATATACAAACAAAATCTAAAAATTTGGTTATGAAAGAAAAGAAACTGAAAAAATGAAATTGGAAATGATGATTTTAAATTGCTTAATGATATTTAGTAATAATTTATTTTGAATATTTATTATTATTATTATTATTATTATTATTATTATTATTATTATTATTATTATTATTATATTTTGAATGTATTATTAATGTATTATCACTATTATTACTATTATTATTATTGTTATTATTATTATTAGTATTAATATTATTATTATTAATATTAATATTATTATTGTTATTAATATTACTATTATTATTATTAATATTATTAATATTAATATTGCTATTGTTATTAATATTATTATTATTAATATTAATATTATTATTGTTATTAATATTATTATTATTATTATTATTATTATTATTATTATTATTATTATTATTATTATTATTATTATTATTATTATTATTATTATTATTATTATTATTATTATTATTATTATTATTATTATTATTACTCACTGACAGTTTAACCTATCGCTTTTATCTTATAGCATTAAAACTTCTGGAAGGTGGTGGACGACGTGGTGACATGGATTCAAAATATCGTGAAGTAGTTTGGAAATTAGATGAACGTGGTAATATGGGTGAGAATCTTGTTGGTTTATGTTTATTGCAAGGAACTGCAATACATAATCATTTGGCTCGTCATTTAATTAAATTATATCCAAAACTTGTCAATGATATTTTCATCAGTGAAAATTATTATGGTATGATATTGTATTGAATAAATTATTGTATAGCAATGATTGTGATAAGATTGTTTAGTTTGATTAATTAAAGAAATATTTTTACAAATTACAATCACATCAACATCATAATTATCATAATCAATCATCATTATCATTATCATTACAATACATCATGATCATATCATCGTCATCAATCATCATTATCGTCAACCATCATTATCATCATCGTTATTATCATTATCACTATCATCACCAACCATCATCATCATCATCATACATCATCATCAATCATCATCATGAATCATCATTGTCATTATTATCACCATCATCATATAACAACAATATTCTAATCAAAAAATATTTTAATTAGATGATACATGATAAAAAATAAAAACATACTGGAAATTATAAAGTTTCCAGATGTAGGACTAGAAAATTAAGATAATTTAATTCAATTAATTTAATAATTATGCAATAAATATTACAAAAATATTTGATATAGCAATAAAACATCATTTTCTACAAATATTTTTGTTAAATTTTTTTTTTTGATTATTTATTAATAAATGAATGATTTCTAGGTTTATCACCATTACATCAAGCAATAATAAACGAAGACCCAGCAATGGTTAGTTTTTTGTTGCAACAAGGCGCAAATATCAATCAGCGCTGCTACGGTGCATCATTCTGTCCGGATGATCAGAAAAGTAGCCGAACTGATTCACTGGAACATGAATATGTGGAACTTAGCCTGAAAACATGCTATTCCGGGTTCGGTTTTATAATTATTTTACAAAAATATCAAGTTTATCCCTTTCCCTCTCTACCTCCCTCTCTCTCTCTCTCTAACTAACTATCATATCATATCATATCATATCATTACTAATAATTATTTGTAATTATATTGAAAAAAGGACAATAAATTGACAAAGAAAAATGAAACATAGAAAATAACAAAAAATCATCGTTCAAAATAAGTACAAAAAAAAAAAAAGATAAAATAAAATTAAAAAAAAAAACTAACAATCTTAGACACAAAATAAACACATATCATATCATATCATATCATTATCAAAAATTATTTTATTTACAAATGCTACAAATCATTGTTCAATGTTTGTTAATATTTTATTTTCATTGCAATTCTTTTAATTAAATTTTTTACACAAATTTAAAATTTACCAAAGAGTTTAATTGCTGCTGAATGACTAAAAAATGAATGAATTATTATTGCTTTTTTCTTGAATTCAATTACTATATTAAATTAAAAGTTAAGAAATTTGGTATTAAAAATATATTTTTTTTTGCTAAAAGGAAAAAAAAAACAAATTAAAATATTTATATTAATTAAAATAGAAAATATTTTACATATTAAGACGAATGTATTTTGGTGAATATCCATTATCATTTGCTGCTTGCATTAATCAGGTGGATTGTTTCCGATTATTAGTAGCAAAAAAGGCTGACCTGAATCAAAAAGATACAAACGGAAATACGGTTTTACATCTTGCTGTAATTCATGAACAACCAGTAAATTAATTTTGATTAATTTTATGTAAAAAAAAATTATGATTGAAATTTGATCAATTATTACAAAAATTATTATAAATTTACATATATGTTTTTTTCTATAAAAATCATTTTTTTTTCTTGAATTTTTCAAAATTTCAAATTTTTGGTTAAAAATTTTAATTTATAAAATTTTTGCATTTTTTCTTTTCAACCATTGTTTTTTATTTTTGTTATCAGGAAATGATTAAATTATCATATGATATGGGTGCTAAATTACAAATAGTAAATAAGCAAAATCTAACACCGCTTACTTTGGCAGCACATTTGGGAAAGAAAGAGGTATGAATTATGATAAAAGGAAAGATTTGTAAGAAAAAAAAAATTGATAATAAATTTAAATTTTAAATTATTCTTTAATTACTGTTTTATTTCCTCCAATATAATTATTTAATTATTTAACTATCAGTTAAATTACTTTTTAAACTAGGTGGAAGAAAAGAAAAATACTTATTTTACAATTTTGTTTATTAACATATTTGTTTACAAATTTTAAACTATTATTAGCACACTTTTAATTTAATTAAAATTTCTATTTAATTATTTAAATTTTAGATATTTGAATTAATTCTTAAATTAGAAGCAGATGTTGTCTGGATATACGGTAATGCAAGCAGTTATGCATATCCGTTAGCTCGTATTGATACAATAAGTCAGGAAACTGGCGAAATGAACGAAGATAGCGCTTTATCACTTACTGTTTACGGAGTAATTATCTTATTTGCTTAGTAATTGATTCTTATTTGCATAGCTATTTAGCATACAATAATGTAACAAATTTTTTATAATTTAAAACATTCTGATGAAAAGTTTTATGTGCCACTGAGATATATCAATTCAATAAATGCTAATTTTTTTGATATCATTTCAAAAAGTATTTTTATTACCTGTAGTGAAAAATTTTATTTGCTAAACCAATAAGGTATGATTTTTTTTGTTTGTTTACTAGTCAATTATTTAATCGTTAATTAATCAATTTAATTACATTTATGGTTTGTTTATTTTTTAAGCTAACTTTTAAGTGGTCAGAATTTCTGCCAAATAAGAAAAAAATTTTTCAGTTTATAATTCAACTTATTCTTTTGTTTATTTTTATAATGTAATTTAATTTAAATTAAATTTTAGGAAACAACAAAACATTTAGATCTTCTCGATGGTTTATTGGAGGAATTATTGGAAGCTAAATGGGAAGCATTTGGACGTCGATAGTAAGATTAAATTTTTAAAAATAAAATGGAAAAAAGTTTTAAAAATTATTTTTTTTCCTAAAAAAGAAATTTTTACTAATTTTTGTAATACTTTTAAATTAATAAGAAAAAAGAGAAAAACTTTTGTAATACTCAGAAAATTAAGCTGGAAAATTAAGCAGAAAATTAACTCAGAAAAATTAAAAATTAAGCTTTTCATAAATGAAAAAATAAAAAATTACATTTAATTAATATTTTTGCAGCAAATTTTTTAATTATTTTATTTAAAAATTTAGAATTTTAAATTAAATTACTCATCTTTTATTGTAGTTTTATCATGTTTTTTTTATTTTATCAATTTTTTTTTAAATTCAATTAGCAACAAAAAACAAAATAATTACTATAATTAATTAATGATTATTTATCAAAAAAAATGATCATAAATACAGTTTGACATTGTCATTTTCGTGCTTTGTGGTTTATTTCATTTTTGTATTTATGGCTTTTATGTGTCGACCATTTTCGATGACAACAAAGGTTTCAATTTAAAAATGCTCAATTAGCATAATGAATATTTACTGATAATAATTTTCATATATTTAATATGTTAGTTAATAAAATTACTAATATTATCATAAAGATTTTCAATCATTTCCAATTACTACATTTTTATCACTATTAATTATCAGTTAAGCATATATTCATTATCAATAATTTAAAATGTTAAAATAAATGTTAAAATTTAAAATGTTAAAATATTCACGGTTATTCTTTTATTAATCACAATTGACTTCTATAATTTTTGATCACTATCATTTATCACCTAATCATGCAATCATTATCAATAATAAATGATATTATTTATTTTTTTCATTAATCACAATTGACTTCTATGATCTTTGATCACTATCATTTATCACCTAATCATGGAATTATTATCAATAATTATAAATATTGAACAAACTACTGATATTTATGGTTATTTTTTTATCATTTCTAATTACTTTATCTTTCTCCATTATCACTTATTACGTAATCACGCAATCGTTATCAATAATTAAAAATGTTAAAACAAATTTCAATTTTAAATTCTTCTTTAAACTACTGATATTGATATATATTTATTTATCCTAATATAGCTTAATTATTTAACTATTAGCTAAACTATGGAAAGAAAGAAACTCATTTTGCAATCATTTTTTTATTCATTTTAATTACTCATCTTTTATCACAGCATATCACTTATCACCTTATCATATCAATAAATACAACAGGTGTTAACACACGATGACATTCATGGTTCCAATACATCAATGCCATGTAATAATACCTCATTTGATAATTCTTGTCCTAATACCACCTATACCATATTTGATTATATGATGCTCAAAGCTACAACGCTGCAACCATTTTCATCGTACGCTGCAAACAAGCAAGTCACGTTTACGCTGCAAAATATTGGTATGCATTAAAAATTTTTCATATTATAAATTTATACTTTGCAATTTCGCTTCTTTTTCTGTCTGAAAAAAATATATTTTAAATTAGTATTCATTGTATTTTATCATATCTTTTAGCATTTCATTTCTTTTTGCTAATAAATATTTATTATATAATTTTTTGCTTTCTAATTGATTATGATAAGAAGTAAAGACGAAAACAAACAAATAAACAAATAAAATTTGATTTAAAATTTTTTTTAAAAAAAAAAACGATTTAACTTAAAACAGTTAAAAATGTATATTATTTTTTACAATTTCATTTTTCTCTTAATTGAATGGTTCATTTTTCAAAAAAAAAAGTTGTTTTGAAAAACTGTAACTCAGTTATTTTTTAATAGTTAATTATTAATAATTTTTTTTTTATAGAAGAAGTTTGGTATCGTTCTGATCTTTGTCATCTATGGCGATATACTGGTTTAGGATGGCAACAATATGTAAGCATATAAAATAAATCAATAAAAAATAAATAAAACAAAATTAATTTATTAATTAATTTTAAATTATTAATTTATATTTAATCGGTAGTTGTTTAAATTTAATTAAAAAAAATTAGAAATTCTATTACAGATTTAATGCTGATATTAGCAATTCTTTGAATTTTTTGATAAAGGCATACAAAAATAAAAATAGTAATACTAAAATATTATAATTAAATAGATAATTAAAAAAAAATATTAGAAATATAATTCTAGCATAAATGGAATTTGTGAAGTATATGCTAATTACTCCTAGAAAATATTGTGCCAAAAAGGCAAAGCATTAATTATTTAATTAATTGATTAAATAATTCATTGTACTTAAAATAAAAAAAACAATTCTTCTTTTGTAAATTTTTATGGAACGAAGTGTTATATAATGTAAAATACATTTGAATAATGTAAATTTAATTTTTTAAATTAGTGTTATAATTTTTTTTTTGCATCATTTTTAATTTAACAAATTTTGTTCATTGTTTGTGTTTTTTTTTTCCTAAAATTAATTTAGGTTCGATTAGTTGCTGAACAAATGGTACTTTTAATGGCATTACTTCAAATTGCATGTGATGCTATGGATATAAAAAATGTTGGACGAAAACGATGGTGGCGTGTTATGGTAATAATTTAAAATTATTTTAAAAAATTTTTGAATAAAATAAAAAAAGAAAAAAAAGGTAAATTCATAATAATTGAATGAGTTTTTTTTTTATTTTAGTAATATTTATTTTAAATTTATTTAAAAATTTTAAATTTATTTTTTCTTCTTTGAATTTTAAATATAATTAATGATAAAAAAATTTCAGAAATCATTTCCAGCTAAAGTTGCTTATAAAATTTCATTTATTTTTATTATTTTAATTGTACCAATACGATTAGCATGTGCATTATGCTCAGCAATGCTTCTACTTGAAAATATTCTTTCATTAATGATTGTTTTATTAACTGGCGCACATTTCTTATTTTATACAAGGTAATACTTTAATTTAAATTTAAATTTAAATTCAAAATAATACCTTAATAGGATATATTTAGGGTTATTTGTGTGAAATCATGAAATTATTTAAAAATTGAGCTTTTTTTTTGTTTTTTGTTTTTTTTTATTTCCGTGATTAACACATCTGAGATTATGTAAATTTAAATTTATTTAATAATTATTTTTTTTTTAAAAAAAAAAAATTTAGAGCTTTAAAATTTATTGGACCATTTGTTTTGATGATTTATACTATACTTTCACGTGATATAAGCCGTTTTATGCTTATTTATTCGATATTTCTCATTGGATTCTCACAATGTTTGTTCATTTCAAATTAAATCATTTTAAATTCATAAAAAAAAAAAAAAAAAATTATGAATAATTCAAGTGTTATTAAATTGAGATTTTTCACTTTATTTACTGAATTTTTTGGCCTATTTTCTAAAAATTGTTCAAAAATAAAAAAAAGAAGGATTAGCAAATGCAAAATTTTAATTTTTTCATTCTTACATTTTATACAATTATTAAATTAATCATTTTAAAATGTAATTTAAACATAATTAATTATAAGCTTAAACTGACCTAAGTTTAAAGTTTTATCAAAACGGCGAAATATAAATAAAACAAAATATTTTTCATTTATCATCTTTTATTTATAAAAAATTTATTATTGCTAATTACTTTCTTGTCATTAAAAAAATTTCCTTACCTTATAATTAGCGCAAAAATTTCTAATTTAATTTAAATTAATATTTCGCTGAAAATTTAAAAATGTTTCATTCTTGAAAAAAAAAATGTTTTCGTCATCATAAATTTGTTCATTTCTAACAAATTTGCTTATTTGATAACTTCTGTATATTAAAGAAATTATCGTTTTTTTTTTTTTTTGTTCTCTAAATTAACTATTAATGCTCAGTAATTTAATTAATTTGGTAGCGCTTTATATTTTTATTATATAATTTATTATATTAATTTGATAACATTCTATATTATCATTAAATAATTTATTATATTGTTGTATTATCATTATATTATTATTGTATTTTCATTAAAATTTATTATATAATTTTATTATTACTAAAATATTGTCATTAAATAATTTATTAATTTATTATATTAATTTAATGATGCTCTATATTTTTATTAATTTATTATATTAATTTAATAATGCTCTGCATTTTTATTAAATTATTTATTATATTAATTTGATAATATTCTATATTATTATTAAATAATTTACTATATTAATTTGATAACATTCTACATTTTCATTAAATAATTTATTATATTAATTTAATAATATTCTATATTTTTATTAAACAATTTATTATATTAATTTGATAACAATCTATATTATTACTAAATAATTTATTATATTAATTTGATAACAATCTTTATTATTACTAAATAATTTATTATATTAATTTGATAACAATCTTTATTATTACTAAATAATTTATTATATTAATTTGATAACAATCTATATTATTACTAAATAATTTATTATATTAATTTGATAACAATCTTTATTATTACTAAATAATTTATTATATTAATTTGATAACAATCTTTATTATTACTAAATAATTTATTATATTAATTTGATAACAATCTATATTATTACTAAATAATTTATTATATTAATTTGATAACAATCTATATTATTACTAAATAATTTATTATATTAATTTGATAACAATCTATATTATTACTAAATAATTTATTATATTTGATAACAATCTATATTATTACTAAATAATTTATTATATTAATTTGATAACAATCTTTATTATTACTAAATAATTTATTATATTAATTTGATAACAATCTTTATTATTACTAAATAATTATTATATTAATTTGATAACAATCTATATTATTACTAAATAATTTATTATATTAATTTGATAACAATCTTTATTATTACTAAATAATTTATTATATTAATTTGATAACAATCTTTATTATTACTAAATAATTTATTATATTAATTTGATAACAATCTTTATTATTACTAAATAATTTATTATATTAATTTGATAACAATCTATATTATTACTAAATAATTTATTATATTAATTTGATAACAATCTATATTATTACTAAATAATTTATTATATTAATTTGATAACAATCTATATTATTACTAATAATTTATTATATTAATTTGATAACAATCTATATTATTACTAAATAATTTATTATATTAATTTGATAACAATCATATTATTACTAAATAATTTATTATATTAATTTGATAACAATCTATATTATTACTAAATAATTTATTATATTAATTTGATAACAATCTATATTATTACTAAATAATTTATTATATTAATTTGATAACAATCTATATTATTACTAAATAATTTATTATATTAATTTGATAACAATCTATATTATTACTAAATAATTTATTATATTAATTTGATAACAATCTTTATTATTACTAAATAATTTATTATATTAAGTTCAAAAAAAAAAGAAGAAAAGAAATTTCTCTTTTTAAGCATTTTATGTAATTTTTGGAGCATGCGAACGAGCAAGCAAAGCAAAATACGGTAAACAATCAACTCGTTGGGAAAATATTTTGGACACTCCGTTTGAGGCCATCATGCGATTATTTATAATGACCATTGGTGAATTTACTATTTTTTATCGATCATTAAATACCTGTGAAGAAAGAATGATGCAAATGATTGGTAAGGTAAGTTTTGTTTTATTTATACTTTTAAAATTTTTGTAAGTTTCAACTTTTTTTTGAAGAAAAAATTTAGATTTAAAAGGAAAAAAAAACAATGAAATATGCAAAAAGAAAAAAGAGTTATACTTAAATTTGCAACAACGAATGGTTTTTTTTTTTTTTTTTTTTTTGTTTGTTTATTTTTTTCTTTTTAGTTTCAAAAGTGGAAAAAAAAAAGAAAGCAAATGGTAAAAGATATTTATAAAAAAAAGGAAATTCGAAAAATGAAGAATAAATAGCATTAAATTTAAAGTTGATTAATATTTTATGTTACATATATTTATATATTCATTTATTTTTATTATTATTATTTATTTTTTTTTTTTTGTATATTCATTTATTAGTAATTAATTTAACAAATTAATTCATTTTGATAAATACAATGATAAGAATACTAAATGATAGAAGAAAAGTCATTTATCCATAAAAATTTTTTCAATATTAAATTGGAAGTAAATTATTTCTTTTTTCATATTTATTTTTGAATGTAAATTAAATTGAAATGGTATTTATTTGTTTATTTTTTTTGATTACAGTTTTTGTTTACTATATTTGAATTATTTATCAGTATTATGCAGTTTAATTTATTAATTGCTATGATGACACGAACTTATGAAACTATTTCGAGGACATCAACCGAATGGAAAAGACAAGTTTGTTTTATATCAGCAAAATAATTATTGAAATAAATAACAGTAATGTTTTAAAGGAAAAAAAAAGAGAGCAACTAATCACTGTTAGTGATAAGAATTAATTATCAGTGTTAATAATTGCAATTGGCATAATTATTTGTTAGCTGAATCTTTTTTTTTTTAAAATCATTTCATTTCATTTTAATTTCTCTTTTTCTCTTAAAATTACTCCTAAATAATATAAAATTATTTTTTTTTTTGGTTTTTTTGAATGATAAATATTTTTTCAAATTCATTTATTTTTTTTTTTCGTATTAACCTTTAATTTTGAATTATAAATATTAAAAATGATAAGTTGAAAATAATAGAAATAAAAATTATGAGTTAAATTTTTAGCACTTAGCACTACTAATTTTATTGATTCCAAATTTTAATTTTAATATTAAATTTCAATTAATCATTTTCTTTTTTCTCTTTTACAGTGGGCACAGGTAATTCTATTCTTGGAATTATCATTAAAACCAAAAGAACGACTTATTGCAATGCTTAAATATTCACGTCCAATTGGTACTGATAAAACAAAACGTTCATTTGTTGTTGCCAGAAAAAATACGGTTAATTAATTAAATTTTTTAATTATTATCAATAAATTTATCAGCAAAAAAATTTTATATTATGAAACAAATTTATTAGTAAATAAACAACAATAAATAAACAAGGAATTAATTTTGAAATTAATTAATTTCTTTATTAGAGATCAAAAATTATTTCATTTTAATTCCATTTAAAATACGGTTCTTTTTGATTTTTATTGTGACAGATAATTCTTTCGCATTTTGATTTTGAAATTATCATTTTGAATTTCATCCTAATGTTTATACTTCACAAATATTATTTTAAATTCTATCTAGGTACTACTTTATATACATAAATATATTTTTCTCTATGAATAGATTATTAATTTTAGCTAACAATAATTTTAGAGTGAAACAATGTCACAAACTGAAAAACAATTACTTGAACAACAGGAACGTGATTTACGTGAGGAAAAACGAGCTTTACTAAAGAGACGTTTAAAGGTTAGTTAGTATTTTTTGAAAAGAGATTAAAATTACTTTCCTACTGATGAAAAGATAATAAAAAAGATTACTAATTAAAAGAAAAAAGATACTTACAAGAATTAATTCTCAAAAAGAGACAAAGATTTAAGTTTAGGCCTTTTTTTTGTCATTATTTCTAAAGCTATGCTTGAATTTAAAATTTTTAAATTTACAGGATTTTGCGCATACACCAGATGGTCGAAGACCAATGACATCATATTTGTCAACGCCATCAAGAAATATCAATGGGGAAAAAAATGAATGAATTAAAAAAAAAAATGCTAAAAATGAAACTTTATTATTATTCAGTAATCCCTAACATATAGTAAAAATAGAACAAATAAAACAAAAATGTTTGAATTTTATTTTTTAACTGAAAAAAATGCTTTTCTTAAATAAAAAAAAAATACTTAAATAATTAAATTTTGAACAATTTTTAAAAGTTCCAATCAAAAAAGAAAAACTGTAAAAAATTTTTCTTCTATTTTTTGATATTTCCACTTCTAATTTAATTAATATTCAAAATTTCAAAACTATAACAAATAAATAATTGATAATTTGAAAATGAATAAATAATTGTCAAAAATAAATAAGCACTAAATATGTCTATTAGAAGTATTAACAATAAATAAAAATGTAGGTGTCCACTACAGGTACTAAAAACAAGGAAATACGTGAATGCCCACTACGGGTACTAAAAATAAGGAAATACTTGAATGTCCACTACAGGTACTAAAAACAAGGAAATACGTGAATGTCCACTACAGGTACTAAAAACAAGGAGATACGTGAACGTCCACTACAGGTACTAAAAACAAGGAGATACGTGAATGTCCACTACAGGTACTAAAAACAAGGAGATACGTGAATGTCCACTACAGGTACTAAAAACAAGGAGATACGTGAATGTCCACTACAGGTACTAAAAACAAGGAGATACGTGAATGTCCACTACAGGTACTAAAAACAAGGAGATACGTGAATGTCCACTACAGGTACTAAAAACAAGGAGATACGTGAATGTCCACTACAGGTACTAAAAACAAGGAGATACGTGAATGTCCACTACAGGTACTAAAAACAAGGAGATACGTGAATGTCCACTACAGGTACTAAAAACAAGGAAATACGTAAATGTCCAGCAGCTTTAAATTCTCAGCTACAAGAAAGCTACTGCCCATCTGAAAATAATTAATTTAGTGAATGATAAATGATGAATCTGATAATAACTGATAATTAGCTTTATCACTCTAATTTAATTTATCAGAGAAATTTCAAAACGATAATTGATTAATTTCAACAATTATTGACATCAAAAATTTTTTGATAACTTTGATTTATAAATTTTGCAACAAAGATATATTCAACTATGAATCTTTTTTTATTTTTATTTTATTTATGAAATTTAATGTTAAAATAAATTATTTAGTACAATTTTTTTCCTTCGTTTTAAATAAACAAAAATAACTTAAAATATTTTTTATTTTTTTGATTTTCATTACCATTAATATTTGAAAAAGAATGGAAAAAATAAAAAAAAATTGTAAAATAATTATATAAATATTTATAAAATAATTATATAAATATTTAGTAAAAATTAGATTGCAAAATGATAATATGAAAAATTTCAAAAAAAAAATCAAACAAATCAATAATAGATCAAAATTAAATAGGTCAAAAGAATTAGCATTAATTATAAAGTTGCAACAAAAAAAAAAAAAAATTTGAATCAATTTTAATTAATCAGAAATGAAATATTTGTTTTGATTGATAAGTCATTTTGATATGTGACAAATATTTTAAATAACAAACTAAAATTAATTTCAAATATAATATTTTAAACAATCTTAAAAGTATTCTTAAATGTATGCAAAAAAATTTTTTTTTGTTTCGATTTAAATTTTTAAGCAATTTAATCAGTCTTTCAATAAATCACCAAAATTGTATTTTAAATGTAACTAAAGGTAAAAATTAGCAGAAAGAAAAAATAAACAAAACAAAAATATAAACAAAAACAAAAATAAACAAAATAAAAGATAAACAAAACAAAAAGATCAACAAAAATTTTAACAATAAAAGTAAAATTTTCCAAATCTAGGAAGAAAAATTTTGCTTAACTAAAATTCAAGTAACAAAATTTAGTTTAAGATATTATTTTAGGGGAACATATCTTAAAAAATAAAAATTTAAAACTCATATTTTAATGTAAAAATTTGAAATAACTAATTTAAAAGAATAGCATTTCAAAATTACTCTCACAATTTAATGTATATCTAAAAGTTAATTGCTTTTTTTTTTTTTTATTTCAGAATAAATTCCAAAAATTTATTTGGTAAGACTTTTTGCAAAATTTTTCGCTTTAAAAGTTAATTTTGCAAATTACACTTTCATTTCATTTTTTTTTTTGTTGCATGCAAATCTTTTATTATAACAAATTGTATAAAGGATTGTCCAATTAAAATTGTCAAATTATAAGTTTTTAAAAAAAAAATTTCTTTTCAAATTTTTATTTTTTAAATTTTTAAACACAAGAATTAATTCATTATATAAAAAAAACTCTTTAACTGCTATTTTATTATAAAAATTAATTAATTTTTCTTATGAAAAAGGAATAAAATTTTTTTTTTCTGAAATTTTGTTATCCATCAAAAATGAAAAATAATTGCTAACAAACATCATAAAACTAATGTTTATTTTAATATATTTGAATTCATTTTCATGAGAATATTTCAATTCTTTGAATTTTTAATTAAATAAAAACTTTGTGAGATTTTATAATTGCTTCAAAATTTTGTTTATTTTGCATTCTGAATACAAAATTATGCCACAATTAGTATTAAATTATAGCATTTAGAATTGAAAACGAAAATAAAGCTGAAAAATAATAATTATTTTTTAACATAATTTATTGTTGAAGGATTGGAAGTTTAAACTGGAATTTTCTCGATGAAATTTCAATAAACAAAATTTTAGCATAAATTTGTTTCAAATATTCATATGCATTTTTTTCAAATAAAAAAAAAATCTTAAAGCTATCAAATCAGTATTAAGCTACTCTTTTTTCAATTTAACAATTTTTTACTAAATTTCATTTTCTTTCTTTCTTTCCTCCTTCTACACTCTCTCTCTCTCTCTCTCATTCTCTTTCTTATTTTTGATTTTAATTTATTGAAAAATAAATTAATGATATAAAAATATGGCATAATTTGCAATTCATTTATATAACCAATCTATGTTATCGTCCGTCTGAAAAAAAAAATTTTAAATTTGAAATTAATTTTTAAAATTGCACTCAATTTTTTATCGATTTGTTAGATGAAATGATAATTAAAAATTGTTGCAGTCAAATAAAATGAACTATATACTAATTTCAGATTTTTTTTCACTTTTTCTTGTATTTATTAAAAAAATCTTTTATAATAATTTTATAAAATCTAATTACAGTACACTTAATTACGGTATTTTGATTACAGTACACTTAATTACGGTATTTCGATTACAGTATTAATTTTGGTTTAACAATCATTCATTGAATAATTAATTAATAATCACAATAACACTTCCATTTTTATTAAATTATTCAAACAAAAACCTATATTTTCAGTATTTGTGAATGCTTTTTTTTATTTTAATTATTTTTTAACTATGTTAAATACTTTTTGTTGTTTTCCCACATCAAAATTAGGAAAGTAATGCAAAAAATATATTTTCAATAAAATTTTTACCATTTATCATTCTCGAAATTCAAAAAAGTTTGAATTAATTTAAACAATTAGTGCAAAATTCAATCTATGCAATTTTTTTTCAAAATTAATACAGAAAAAAAAACAAAAATTAATTAACATCGTTGTAAATTGTTTATCAATGATTTATTAAACAACAATTAGTCTTCAAATGGAACAATTTATAAAAGTTATACTTACAGAATTATTTTTCTTTTGCTGAAAAAAAAAAAAAAACATTTTTGTTTTCTTTAGAACTTTTCTTTTTCCACTAAAAAAAATGACAAATAATTAAAAGTTGCTATTAATACATTAATTAACAGTTTTTAAATAATGTAAAAATTTAAATTACACACATATTTCATTTCACATTAACATTTACATTAATTAAATTATAAGCAAAAAAAAAAACAAAGAAAAAAATTAAAAAAATTTAAGTAACACGTTAAAAAAATTTAATTCAATTATAATAAAAAATGTATTTTGGATGAAAAAAAAACAACAAATTTGAATATTTAATTTCATTAATTTCATTTGTAAGTATTTTTATTGATAAATTAATCAGTCATTGCACATTATTTTCAAATGTTAAAATGAGGCAGCAAAGGTTTACAATAAAATATCATAAAATAAAAAATTATTGATTCATTTTCAATTTATTCAATTCATATATTAATTGTTTAAAATTAATAAATGCTAAAAAAAAAAAACAATCACAAAAAAAGAGAGAAAATATAGAAATGAAAAGGCAAAAATTATTAAAATTATACCATACAATTTTAATTATATTAATCCAATTAAATTATGATTATTCATCATATTTTTATTATACAATGTCAAAAAATTTCATTTTGAAAAATTGTGAATAATTGTTGGAATTTAAATTTATGCTTAATTTTTTGTGAATAATTAAGTAAATAAATAAATTTAATGTTTTGAATGAGTGAGTGAAAGTGTTATTGGATTTAAAATTTGTGAATTTTTTCGCATTTCCAATGTTCTTTTATGAAATTTTAATATTTCATTCTTCAATGGTTGATTTGATGATGGCGCATTTTGCATTGAACTTTGAACTGCATCTGGTAGTACAATAGAAATTGGTACAGTAAAAATATTATTGACATGTTGTCGTCGCAAATATTCCATCTTTTTTCGCTCCAATGCAATTTTATTAAATCCTTTATCGGTATAAATTGGCTTAAACCACCACGGAAAGAAATAATCGCGTAAAATCCAAAGATTGAAAATAAACCATGAAAGAAGGCAAAGTAAGCCAAATATGTAATAAATATTTTCACGAAATTCGATAAAATTTAGCAGATTGTACCTGCAAAAATACCTGCAAAAAAAAAAACCAAAAAAACAAACAAAAAAACAAAAAGATAAACACAAAAATTTTCTTTAAATAATTTCAAAATTTTAAAAGAATGAAAAAATTTCGCATTTTCCTAAGTTATTAAGCTTTTATTTATTTATTATTATTATTTTTTTTGTGGTAATTATATCATAATTTGATGAATAATAAAATTTAAAAATTAAACGGTAAAAATTTTTCGTAAAACTTTAATTTTTTTCTTTCTAAAAAAAGAAAAAAAAAAAGCAGAATTTAAAACGAAAATTTAGTTTGTATATAGTTTGAAAGGAACGATTGTCTAATTTACTTATAGCGAGAAAAAGGAAATGAATGGATTAAAGTTAGGATTATAATTTATTATTTATATATCGGAAAGTAATGTTTGTTTCAAAAATATTTCCAATATTTTATTTCAAATTTTTGCAAGAAATAAATGAATTTGCCCAATTTTAATTCTTTTCCTATTGCTTTTCAAAAAAAAAAATTTTCCTATTAACAGTTTAAGTGAAATAACAAAATTGTATAAATAAATAAATAATAATTAAAAAAAAAAGAGATTTTTCTCTTTTTTTTTCAATTTTTGTTTTATAAATCAAAATTTTTGCATCAGCAAAAATTAGTATAAAAAATAAAAATGAAAATTAAAGATTATTTAAGATGAGAAATAGGATAAGTGCAATGCAAAGGTTAATGAAAAATGATAAAAGGTCAAGTTTACAGTGATAAATTTTTAAAAAAATGAAAATTGATGATAGTTGGAATATTTGAAGCGAAGAAAAAAAAAGTTTTGGATAGATAAAATTAATTTTTTACTTAAATTTCGCAAAAAAAAAAAAAAAACTTTATCCATTTTATTGATAATATCGATTTTACTGCTTGCATTATTGCAAGTTAAAGGAGCAATTTTTGTAATTAAACAAGCATTTCTTTTTTTTTTCTTTTAAAAAATTAATTTTGATAAATTTTTTTTTACCTCCAAAAAAAAAAAACGAAAAATTATTTTTTTGTTTATAGCAGAAAAAAAAACTTAAAATTTTAATAAATTCTCTTTTTTTTTCTTAGGAAAATTATTTCATATTTGATTTTATTCATACTAATAAAATTTATTAACATTTTTTGTTCTAACTTAATTATATAAAATCACTTTAACTTTTATTTATTTAATTTTTTTTCAAAAAAAAAAGAAAGCAAAAAAAAAATTTTGTGGCAAATTTTTCTTTGCTTCTATTACTTCTACAACTATTACACTCCAAAATTATATTTGTCTAGTCTTTTTTTTCTTTTTTTTTTGTTTTGAATAAATTGATTGTTTCGTTTTTTTGTGTGTTTAAATAATTTCAATTGATAAAATTAACATAGCTTATCAATTAGCTCTGATAAAAAACTTTTGAAAAAATGTCTAATCTTATTAATTAGAATGAATTTTTATTGTGATTGATGGGAAATTATCGCAGAAATCGAAGTAATTTTGATTTGATATTTTAAAATTTACAAGATTAAAAATTTAAAAAAAGAAAAAAAACAAAATTGCAATATTTTCATTTGAATAAATAAAAAATAATTGATGATCTTCGTAGGAAATGATTGAGATTAGATCAAAATAAATTTTTGTGTGCGGTATTGACTATATTGATTGATTGATTGATTGATTGATTGAAATTTAAATCATACAGCAAAAATACGGATGAATTAATAGATAAGTAAATGATTTAGTAACTCTTTATAAAGTTATGAAAAATATATTATTAATTATATTACTGAATATAATATCCTTAAAAATTCAATTAAGTATGAATAAAAATTAATCCCAAACTTTGCAATTTGAACAAATGGAAATTTAAATTAAAATTATAGAATTTGTTAAATTTGCTTCGCCTTTTTTGCCATTCTTTGAATGTTAAATGCTAAAACTATTTGTTGCAAAGTCTGAAGATTATACAATTTTAAAAAAATTCGACTTTTTTTTGCTACAAAAAAAATTTTGCAAACATATTTAATATTTTTTTTTTCTGTCAGAGAAAAATAAGAAAAAAGAAAATAAAAAGTTATACTTTAAGCCATGTTTAAAATCAAATATATGTGTCAGATTGAGCAATAAATACAGTCATAACAGCAATAATATTATCATATTGTTATTGCTATTAATATGAATGATAATTATTAATATTAAAATAATAACATCGATAATCATAATAAAAATAAGAACAATATTGATAATATCAATAATATCATTATATTGTTATTATTAATAATAATAATAAAACAACATTGACAACAATAAAAACAATAATATTAATAATAATAATAATAGCGGTAATAGCAATGTTTTCATTATTATTACAACTATGTAGAAATAATAATAACATATTAATAATAAGAAAATTATAATTATAATAAATAATTAACAATAATAATAATAAATAGTTACAACATCGATAATAATAATAATATTAATAATAATAATAATAATAATAACAATGATGATAGTAGTAGTGATAACGATACCAATGATAATAATAGTAATATTTATAATAACAAATAGTACTAACAATAATTGAATTCCAATTGTAGAAATTGCATTAACAACAATATAAATATGGTGATATGATAATGTCCGGAAGTAGTGATAATAATAGTTCGATTGCAATTTCTAATCTAATCTGAAATATAATAAATATGAAATTTTATAATTGTTATTTGAATTATCAAAAGATATTAAATTTCATCCTAAAATGAAAGAAAAAAAAAAAACAAATCATACATATTTAAAAGGCTAATCAACTTTGCTAAAAGCATTTCAAAATTAAAATGATGTCAATATGATGAGAAAGTTTTTGAATTAGGAAAAGCATTAAAAACGAACAAAATAATTTTCTATTTTAGGAGAAAAAAAAAAACAAAAATAATGATTTTTTATTGATTTACTTAAATAATATTTTATTTTTATAGAAAATTCTTTTATTTTGGCATACATTTTGATCAATTTTTTTTTACCTTAAATTTTTAAAAAGTTAATAAATTATGTTAAAAAATTTTTATAATTATAATAATAATTTCAGTATGATAAAAACTTAACGTATAATGTAATATTATTATCAAATATGTGAAAAAAAATGCTAATAACAAATAAAATTGTTAAAATATTTCAGATTGCTAATTAATTACTGTGAATTATTGTTTTAATTATTTCACTAAATTTATATTATACTAATATTTTTATTTCTAATTATAATTTATATTATACTAATATTTTTATTCCCAATAATAATTCTATTTTTTTTCATTATTTTTTCCATCTATTTGTGTTCATAATAATGATTGAAAAAATGAATATTTAATTATTTTTTTTTTTAAAAAAAAAGAACGAAACGATAAATGTAAAAGAGATAATAGAAAATTATAAAAATTAATTTTTAAATACTGTTAAAAAAAAAAAGTTGGAATAAAAAAGGCATACATTTAGATTAGTACCATAATTTAAAAGGAAAAAAAAATTGAAACATTAGTAAACTGTTATTAGATAAATTAGTAATATGAGATAAAGGTAAAAATTTTTTAAAAAAATATAAATACAATTTTTTATTTCAAAACATAAAAATTTTATTTTTTATTTTTTAAAATTAATTATAAAAAAAATGTTTCTCAAAATGACTATATTCTTTCCTTCTTCTTTTTAAGGAAACAAAAATTTGAGATGAAAATTTAGCAGATCGTTTCAATATTTGCATAAATGATTAGTGATTATTTGTTATCGCTTTTGATTGATGATAACTTTATTAATAGTAGCTAAATTAATAAATACATTATTATTTAATTATTCAATTATCAAATTTTATATCTCAAAGATATCTGAATCCTAAAATTAAAAGTTAGATTTTATTTTACTATAAAAAATTTTGCTCTTTTTCTTCATTTTATTGTAATTTTAAATAAAAAAAAAATTCATTAGAAACTAATAAAATACATTAAGGAACTAATATGATATATTACTAATAGGTAAAATTAATGTATTTATTAAATTTCTTTGCAAAAATTTTTTCCCAAAAAAAAAAGAAACTAAAATCAATTTTAATTAATAATAAAAAAAAGAACAGAAACACCTGGCTAAGATTATAAAAGTAATATTGCAATTTTCTTTTTTGAACAAAGAATATTTAATTTCTAAATTAAATTTTAACATTTAAAAAAAAAAAAAACATAAAGCACAGAGAGAAAAGAAAAAGAATTTTTTTTTTTTTTTTGAATTAATAAGCAATCATTGATAGCTTTTAAATTTGATTAAATTTACATTCTATTTAAGATTTGATGAAATATGTTGAAATAATTTTAAAAAAGTTATAAGTAAGCATACTCTATTGATAAATAAAAGAGAAAGGCAATAAATGAGGCATTTAAATGAGGGGAGGGAGAGGGAGGGACAGTTGATAAATTGTAGCCTAGAAGGATAGAAAAATAGCCTTATATTATTACATTGGCATGAAGCAGCAAAGAAATGAATATAAAGCATTTGAAAATTTAAAAAAAAAAAAAAAGAAAGAAAGGAAAAGCAAAAAATTCAAATATTGATGTATTATAAAATGATCAAAAAAAAAATAATTTTGTTTGTAATTTAATTTTATTTTATTTTATTTTTTCATAAATAAATAAAAGTAATTAATGAAATAGTCTATAGATAATAATAAATATAAAAGTATTATTTAAATACAAAATAAAATAAATAAATTATGATAAATAATTTATTGCATAAAAAACAAATTATTCATTTGTATGAATGTAAAATGTAACGAATAAA